CCTCAGGACCCCTCACACCGCCCCACACAGCCGCGGAGCCTCCTCGGGACACCCCCAGGGCCCCTCACACCGCCCCACACAGCCCCGGAGCCTCCTCGGGACACCCGCTCCCCCTCACACTGCTCCACACAGCCCCGGAGCCTCCTCGGGACACCCCCAGAGCCCCTCACACCGCCCGATACAGCCCCGGAGCCTCCCCCCGGGACCCCCGCGCCCCCCGGAGCTGCCCCAGCCCCGGCACCGCCGCCCGGCGCCTCTCCCGGCCCGTCCTCCACCGTGTCCCGGGTCGCTGGGAGAAGGGGACAACGGAGAGCCGAAGGAGGGGACAGTGGCCGGTCCCTGCCTGCCAGCACGGCTGGACCAYCGCCCTCCGAGACCTGCTCCAAAACTCATGCGTTTGCCTCACTTAAAATAAAAGCCATCCCGAGCCATCCTTCTCCTTTGTGGTAGATGCGCTAACCCAAAACCTGGCACCAAGGGATGGCAAGACACCTTATTCTTCTTTCCTTGTTCTTTTCTATTTCTTCTTCTTTTTCTTCTCCTTTACCATTTCCTTTATAATTTCCTTTTTCCTTTTCTTTCTCTTTTTCCTTCTTTTTTTTTTCTTTTTATTTTTAATTGACAGTTCATTAGACTGTAAGCAGAGTCGGGTTCTAAACACATGTTTTTCTGATTTGTTGTTTTGGTTAAGAAAAAGTACAGATCTATGGATGGATGTTCACATTAGGTGCTTTGTTATGTAGCAATTAAAGCTGTGAGGTTGTGCAGACTGCAGTCAAAATATATCAAGAAGCATCATTTTAGGTGATYAATGCAGTTTGGAGAATGTTGCCCAAATAGCATGAAGCTATGTTGGGGGAGGGGAGGGCATCAAGTTGGATAGTAGGAAAAGGTTCTTCACCTAGAGGGTGAAGGCATGGGAACAGGCTCCSCAGGGAKGTGGTCATRRTCCCAAACTTTCCAGAGTCCAAGGMGCATTTGGACAATRCTTTGAGAKGYACATGGGGTGGTCCCATGCAGGGCCAGGAGTTASAGTTGATAATCCTTGCAGGTCAGTTCCAATTCAGGATATTCTATGAAGCAAAGTGGGATAGGACCAAGCCCTCATTGCTCCATCTCTCACCAGTACTTTGCAGCTCCTTAGATGGCAGAAGTCAAGAAAAAACAGTTAAAACAAATGTATGTTTATGTTCCAAACGTGCATGTACTCAGCACCCGAAGTTATCTGGCCTTCACGAGCACTGCTGTGGTATCTGTTGTTATTGCTACATCAAAAACAGCAACCACAAAATCAGCTGGACGAACAGACCCCAGATTCCTGAGGGTTTTGCTGATATTCCCTGTTTGGGACCCTATCAGGGTCAGCATTCACRAGCTATCGGCTCATTGGAAGGGCTGTCTTTGCTGGAGGATGGACTTTCACAGAGTCCTGTTCCTCCCCGGGCACTGAGGGATGCTAAACTGGCTCTTGTGCAATCCCAGAGGCAGCGTGTTTGCGTGGGGGAGAGGGATGAGCAGCAGGAAGGCAATATAAGGCAAACAGCAGGAGGCACGGAGCGACCCCGGGTGTGACAACCCATCCTGAAGGGGAAGGAATTGGAGCAGTGATGGATGGAGGAGCAGAGAGTGGCGCGGCAATGGTAAGTGGGGTGAGAACAGGGTGGTGGGATCTCTCAGGATTGCTGCAGCGAGCAAGGAGCAGAGCAGGGAATGAACCCTCCTGGCCCAGCAGTCTGGAACAGAGCAGGGAATGAACCCTCCTGGCCCAGCAGTCTGGCAATCACAGCTGCTCAGGGTCGGTGGAATGGGGTATGGGTGTGCTGTGTTAGGGGGGTTTCTGGTGTTGGTTTTGCCCTGCTCTCAGAGCACTGACAGAGCATTGCCCAGCCACCAGCCCTGGCTGACTCACATCCACATCTCTGATAAGAGTATCTGGTGTCCAGGGCTAATCCAGCACTGAGCCAATAATTTCCCTAAAGAAATCCATTATCTGTAYCAACAGAAGAGATTGACTTAATCTGTGTCTTTTTGACACTAATTTTAATTGTGTTCAAGGCTTTGGGTTTGTTTTTTTTATCCCATTGTCTCCTTGGTATGGATGTGGTTTACTGGAACCATGAAGATTCTTGGTAAATCCTAACTCTTCAAAAGAGCTGTAGTGGAAAGAGGGTAACTTCTTCCCTCTTTGGAGAGCCTGGACTAATGCCTCAGCTGTGCAGTTTTACTCAAAATGCCTGTTCTTACTGAACTGTAATGATTCCTGTGGATCCAAGGGCTGGTTTCTCCCACTTCCTCTTTCTGGAATAGCTACCTAAATTCAGGATAGTGTTTGACCCTTGTGTTAACCTGATGGGGGAAGGCTGAGCTGGCCCTTTGGGTAGGGAAATGACTTTGTACCATGGAACCTAGGAAATACAGTACTGAAATTATKGCACCCGTGCTTGAGGGTTCACTCTTTCTGAATGACTGCAAACATCTCCATGAGTATGATAAAAAATCTGAATTATCCAGAGCTTGTTTGTTTTTCCAGGAAAAGATTGTGAGATGCTTTCTGCTGCTCTCTGTGCTCTGGCTGGCTGGCTGTGAAGGCAACAAGAGTGAGTCTCCCTGTGCCCTGWCCCTGCTGGGTAATGGATGGGTAGTATGGAAAGAGGAGGTAAAACCCCCACCTGATCCATGTTCAGGTTCCTCATTAGGGCACTGCTGAAAGCTGCTAAGGAGGAAGAACAGAGTAGTTGTGAGGCAGGAATTGGGATACAGAAGCCAGCAAAAGAGTCAGGAACTGCAGCCTGTCTACCCCAGCCATGTGTAACCCATGGAAATGGCCACAGGTGCCCAATGTGCCTCCATGCTCCTTGGTGACAGTGACAGGCCCCATAGCTGTGATCCAGATTACAGTTGTGCTGAGGAGCTGTCACAGCCTCCCAGCAAGCTGAGGCAGCAGGTTCTTCCTCAGATGTGTCTGCTCTGGCTCTAGGCGAGGATCTCAGCCCTTGAGAGCTGTGCAGGGCTTCCTGCAGTGGGGTGAGTTCTCAAATCTCTCATCAGGAAGATATTCTTGCTGTACTTCAGCTTTCTTGCCTTTCCTTTGCTGCAGGTGAGCTGGTGAGCACCCATGCCCTGAGGCCAGGTGCTGCCCTCCGTGTCAAGAGGAGCCCAGATGCCTGCCTGCCAAACMCGTGCCAGCACCAGGGGCAGTGCCAGGTGACAGAGGACAGAGCAGTTTGCAGCTGCAAGCCAGGCTTCACCGGGGAATTGTGCCAAGGTAGGGCTGGGAATGCTGGAGAGCCCACCCCTGTCTGTCCACGGGCACCAGAGGGAAGGGTGATGGGCACGGTGCATTGGTGTTACCACTGCTCCCCGCTCCAGGTTCAGGTGCATTCCCCACCACTGCAGCCATGTCCTGGCTACATGTTGGTACAAGACCTGGCCACAGGCCATTTTCTTGTTCCCCAAAAGCCTTAATTCCTTGAATGTGCCATGGTGTAGCAGGGCATACTTCATGGCACAGCTGCCCTGTGGTCTCAGAACAAGCACCCTGGCACAGATTCAGTGGCCAAAATCTGTCTTCTTCATCTGAAGGAGAGGGTCCCTGTCTGGTGCTCTTGCCAGACTGTGGGGGCTCTGTGGACAGCCCTAAAAAGGGTCCAGACTGTCTTTTCCCCAGTGTCTCTGAAGAGCCCTAAGCAGCCTCCACCAAGGCTGGGACGAGGGGCTGCTGATTTCAGTGGGACTGTGCCACCCCCAAGCTGACCTAGGGCTCCTTCAGGCCTCTCCCTTATTGCTATTGCAGATGGCTTTTTCCCCCAGATGTGGTACTGAAGTTGGCCTGTGAGGAAGAGCACATGAAGATGATGGTGAGGAAGGAGGTGTTTGAGCTCTTGAAAATCCCACTGGAGCTTGTCCACTTGAAGAACCAGGCATGCAAGGTCTCAGAGAAGGAAGAAGATGGTGAGATGTTTTTTGCAGCCACTCTCACAGGTGAAAACCACACTGTCTGTGGATCAGTAATCCAGGTGAGGATCCATAGCTCCAAAGCCATGAGAGGAGCAGACAGGCTGAGTGGGGGCAGCAGCAGGYCCAAAGGCTTTTCCTTTTATGTCAGGGTGCTGTAAAGTTCTTGTTCCCCTTGCAAATCTTTCCTGGGTATATCAGAAAGCTCTTCTGCCTCTGCCAAACCCCTGCTGGCAGCACRTTTTGTCTTATTTAACAGAGCTTGAAAGTCTCCTTGTGCACCGATAACAGCCCTCAGCTTTCTGGGAACACTCTGAGCTCTGCAGCCCTGGCCCTTTGGTCCCCCACTTGCTTCATGGAGCAGGAAGGGTGCAGAGGAAATGGTGCTTCAGCTCTGCATTGCAGAGRGGAGTCCTCTGCTCACCGATGCTGTGCCAGCAGCCCCCAGACACGAGCTAAAGCCCCAGCAGATATCCAGGCCTGGAGCAGYTATAGCTGAGCTGCACCTTCTGCACCGTACACTTGCTGTGTACGGCTTTAGTCATGGTCTGCAGCCTTGATTTCTGTGTCGTTCCAGCAAAACAGCTCCCACGTCTCGTACTCCAATGTCATTGAGTCAGAGCAGGAGGTCCAAGGGGCCATAATCTCCCGGAGTTTTCAGCTGGAGGTGCACTTCTCCTGCATCTATGCCTATGAGCAGGTTGTGCGACTGCCCTTCACTCTCACTGCAGTTGACAAGTGAGTGTCCCATTTCCCCTGGCTGCTGGCATGGTATCTTTGAKCTTGCAGAAAAGTGAGATGATTTGCAAAGGTCCTGGGTAGCTCCTAAAGAGCTCTGAAAGTGATGCCAGGCACAATTGTCTCACAATTGGTGACAGAGGCACAAGTTGCCTCACTTGTGCTCTGTCCTTCCCTCCTTGTTCTGTTCATGGGCTCTCATCCTCTCCTCTTCTCTCAGGGTGGTGCAGTTCGTGGTGAGAGAAGGACATTTCAAYGTCAGCATGAGGCTGTACAAGTCCCCCTCCTACCTCCAGCCTTAYCACCTGCCAAGTGTGGCCGTCCCCCTCAGGGACACACTCTATGTCCTGCTGAAGATAGAAGGGCAGCACCAGCACAAGTACTTCCTGCTGAGTGTTTTGGACTGCTGGGCCACACCGAGTGCAGATCCCCAGCAGGATGTGCAGCACAAGCTCATTGAGCAGGGGTGAGTGCAGTGCCCCTGGCACACCCATCCTCTTCACACCACAGTGTGCCAAGGACTGAGACAGAAATAGGCCTGTTCAGTTAATCCTGTGGGCTGCATGCAGGCCCTGTGGGATGTGGTGTTCCAGGATGGGGTGCTTCCCTTCATTTGCCACCCATTGACCCAGCTCTCATGCCCCAGGTGTCCCCATGATGAGACAGTGACCTATCTGAATGCCATTGGAGAGAGCACTAGTGCCAAGTTCAGCTTCCAGATGTTTCGGTTCGTTGGTTACCCYGAGGTGTTCCTGCACTGCCGTGTCCAGCTCTGTCTCCCTGACAGCCCKGAGCCCTGTGCCAAGGTGAGCTCTCTGCCTGGTCTGCACCGTGCCCTGGCTGGGTGTGGGACCTCCCTTCCCTAYGCCTGTTCCTTGGAGAAGGGGCTCTGCTCTGGTTTTGGGTGCCTCACAAAATAAACACCTCCCAGAATCAGGAGCTCAGCCCAGAGCCCTGAACCGAAGGTAAGAGGGCTTTACCACCAGAGAGCTCCTTTCCCTCTTCCCTGGGACAGGAAGGGAGATCTCCAGGATGGCTCTTGCCCTCGGTGCAGGGTGCTTCTCCCCAGCTTTCCCATTACCCTTCCCTTGGCTTTGTTGACAGCAATGCCCCAGGCACGGGAGGAAGAGGCGGGCGCTGGCAGATGACTACAACAGGATTGTCTCCTATGGGCCCATCCACCTGCTGGCTGCTCCTTCCTCGGGATCAGACACCCATCATTCCAGCACTGACCAGGACCCAGCAGGTATGTATGTCCTCCAGAGCACATAAATCARTCCAGGAGATCCCAGGAGCAGGGCTGGGGACAAGCCCACCTATAGCATGRCTCAGACCATGCTGAGCTGTATGGAACTGGCAGCAGGGGTGGGTGGAGGCTTTTTGAGGTGACCAAGTCCTGTTAGGGCCCTCAGGATCCCAAACTACCCCCATCTCCAGTGGCCCTTCACAGGAGATGACCTCCCTGAATCTAYCCCCAGTCAGGAGATGCCATGCCAGGCTCAGAGCTGGCTCAGGGGACCCAGATAGTGACCAATCTCTCTCCTCTTTGGCAGGAACCAGCCCGTGGCTCTCCGGGGCCCTCGTTCCACTGTGTGTGCTCGCTGTGCTCGCTGTGGCTGCTGCAGCCGTCAGCGTGGGGCGGCGAATGGTTTAGCAAACAGCTGTTTCCAAATAAATGTGACAAGAGCAGAGAGGCTCTTGCTGTGTCTTTATGGGTGTTTGGGGAAGGAGGTGATGGTGGGATGCAAACAGTGCTTGAAGGATGAGGCACTGAGGGGGTTTTTGTTCCCTGTAGGAACAAAAGGTCTCATAGACCTTATTTCCTCTGAGCCCACAGTCTCTTAACTCAAAGCATGTACCCAGGGGTGGGAGGGTCCTTCCTCCTGCTTCCCTCTTTCCCAGAGAGTCACCCTGGCACATGGAGAAATGGAAGTACCCCACTCTAGATACCTACCCAGCAAAGCTGGTCTTTGCACAGTTCTGTGCAAAAAAAAGTGTAGCATTAGTAAAGAGCTGCTTTGTGCATGCACACGTGTGTGTCTGTGTCTGTGTCTGTGTCTGTGTCTGTGTCTGTGTCTGTGTCTGTGTCTGTGTCTGTGTCTGTGTATGTGTGCACCCATCCACAGTGTTTTCTCCCTTCATTCATGATATTTCTCCTTTTAACTCCTGGCAAATTGTCAGCAAGACTTTTGCCCATTGATACATCCCTAATATAAAGCAAATAACAAACCATATTGTAGGTATTAAAGACTAAATTCACAGTGCTTGGACAGCTGGCAGGGATTTAATACTGAAACACAGATCCCGAGAAGACAGCAGTTGCCCTACAAGGCAGCTGTGTGTGCATTTTGGGTGAAGCAAAGTGTCCATGAGGGAATTGTTGCTGGCCCCAGAAGACGTTTTGTGAGGAATGACATCCAGCAGATCTCTTCCAGAGAGCAAGGAGATGTATTGCAAAGAAGCTCATGTGTTTCCTTCTCATTTTTGTTGATTCCCAGACACAAACCTTCCACATCTGTGCTGGAGCAAGTCAATCCTCTCCCTCCACTACCAGGAAACCCATTGCTGGGCTGGTCCAGCACCAAAGGCCACCTCTAGCAAAGAGGGTGATGGCTCCATYGTGGCTGAAGGCAGGTGCTTTGTGGGCTTTCTCCTTGTCTCCGGGGGAATGAGATCAGGGGCACCTCAAGACCGTGAAAGTGCAGCCTGGAGGGACTTTGCAGAAGTGTCATCTCTGGAGCTCCTTGCCCAGGGCAGCCCACCAGGAATGAAAGGGACAAAGCAAAGAGCCCTGCTGAGATGGATCGTGTCCAGTGAAGGGTAAACTGAGGTGTGGTAAACTGATCCCTCCTCCATGGGGAAACTGCATCTGCGAGGATCAAAGATTGCTCTCAGTGGGTGCAGGTGCAGACAGGAAGAGAGGTCCAGCAGGAGCTGGTGCAGCCAGGAGCTAGTCCTGGGAGGCTGTGGTGGTTTTGTCATGTCTGATGATGTAGGAGAGGGAGCCAGAGGTCTCCTTTGCCTTTGGATAGTAGAGAACAACCAACCAGATGAATATGAAGAGTCCTGCAGGGAAAGGAAGACAAACACTCAGCAGCAGCAGGAGATGGTGGGAAGCATTTTGCCWTTCTGCTGCTGACACCTCCTTTCTGCTTCCAGGGGTTTCCCTCAGCTCACTCCTTCCTCCCCCTGCTTCAGGTGAACCATTTGGCTGGGACATGAGTGGATAATGTCCCTAGTCCTCTGCTAAGGAATGTCTTTCTTGGAGGAAAACCACCGAGGCTGGAGTGAGTGTGGTTGGGAGCCTGGAGCAGCTTCCTGCTGGTGGCTGGGACCTGCTGCTTGATGTGCCCTGCTGAAAGGAAGGGCATGGCAGTGCTGGTGCCTTGGGATCCCCGGTCAACCCACAGCCAGGCTGGCTCCTGCCTCATCCATCCTCCCCACCAAAACCCAGGGAACCCAGCTCAGAGTGAGTGCTGACCTTGGAGAGAGTTGAGGATGGTGAAGAGGTAGAGCACGGGCGCAGAGGAGATGCCGTAGGTGAGGAAGGCCAGGGCCCAGGTGGCTCCCAGCAGGCAGAAGAGCCCCGCTGCCACCAGGGCCACCTTCCAGGGCTTACGGTATCCCTGCACTGCCCCAGTGCCCTGCAAGCTGCAGCTCTTCTGGGTCACCACCACAAACACAGCCATGTTGAAGAGGAAGATGAGGCCAAAGTAGCCACAGTTGGTGATGTAGTGGACCAGAAGATGTTTGGAAGTGATCCAGCACCTGAAAAGAGACAACCATGGGAGCCTTCCCAGGGGGAACATTTTGGGGATGCAGGGGCACCTTTGTGCTGGGGGGATTTTCCAAGGCCAGGGTAGAACAGGGGGATAGTGGTGTGCATCCACTGCCCTCATGTTGCTCAGCTGGGAGGGAGCCAGGGAAAGCTCCAGGTGGACTCTGGATGTCCTTCCATGAGCTGCAGGCATGGCTGAGGCTCAGCACGAGAGGTGGTGCTGGGGGTGGCTGGTGTGTTGCAATCACAGTTCAGGAAGCAGAAGCAGAAGCAGAAGCGTGGTGTGAAGCCGAGCCAGAAGGGTGCAATCCCTGACTGCTGTGCTCCCGGCAGGACTGAGCCACCCCTCCCATTGCCAAAGGGCCACCAAAGCCCTGTGGGCAGTGGCACACGCACAGGTGGGCTATGACCTGCTGGTCCGTGGTCTGGATGCTGTATTCTCCATAGCTGCCAATAACTCCTGCCACTCCCACCACGAGAACGGGGAAGCCTGGGAGAAGGGAGACACACAGAATCAYRGAGTTGTTTAGGCTGGAAAAGAYCTCTAAGGTCACCAAGCCCAACCATTAACCCAGCRCTGCCRCATTCACCGCTAAACCATGCACCTAAGTGCCACATCCAYGCATCTTTTGAACACTTCTAGGGATGGTGACTCCACCACTACCYGAGGMAGYGTGTTCCAGTTCCTGACCACYCTTTCAGTGAAGAAATTTCCCCAATATCCAAACCAAACCTCCCACTGCCCCACTCTCACCCCAGCCAATGAGGCACAGCTTTGCCAGGTAGTGGTGGATGTAGATGCCGAGGACCTTGACAAAGAGCAGGTAGAGCTGACAGCCCTCCAGYGCCGTCCAGGTGAAGCAGCAGAGCAGGCTGTAGTGGGTGAGCCCMCCCAGGACCCTACAGGTCCTCGGGTGGGTCCTGCCAGAGAGCCCRCTGTTGAGCAGGAAGGCCAGGTTGAGGAGGAGCAGGCTGCCCACGAGGTTCACGTGCAGCCCCAGGTTGATGCGGACRGTGTCCTCAAACTTGAACCTGCACCTGGGTGTCCCCACAGGGACCAGGGAAAGTGGGGTCACAGCTGAGCAGGGCCTCRTGCTGTGCTGAGGCAGGACCATGCAGAAGCACCAGAATTGCCCCACTTCTCTCCCAGCCTGACAAATCCCCACGGAGCTGCTGGCCCATCCCACCTGATGAAGATGCAGAAGGCAATGGTGAAGATGGAGAAAGCCATGGCTATTCCACAGCCAGTGGTGGCCACAACCTTCAAAGCTTTTGCTGTGGAGCCATCCAGAGCTGGGTTCTGCCAAACATGCAGGTCTTGGGTTAGACAGGCCCTGGACCAGCCTAGAAAACCTGACTGCAGCTACCAGAGCCATGGGGCTGATAACCCCARTGGCTGCTGCACACACCCCATATCAGCCCACATCTGGCCCCATGAAGGTCTTCAGGGGAGCAGGGCATTGGTGGCTCTGAGRTGGGGTGAGGTGTGGGTGAAGTGGACCACCATGAGCACCCTCCTGGGAGTCTCCACTGGGACAGGGGACCTCAAACCCCTCTGCACCAGAGCCTGCACGAGTCTGGGGCCTTTTGCAGCCTGTCCTGCTCAGCTGCCCTGCTGCTGCCCTGCTGAGCTGGGGCTGGGCTTGCTTTTGGGACCTGGGCTTGCCTGGGAACAGCTAYAACCATCCCTGCATGGCTACTTGTGACACCCAAGGGGCCACCAAAGTCAGGGCACAAGCAGGAGCTGCAGGAAGGGGGATTGTCACCAGGAGGAGGGTGAAGAAGGTGAGATGRTCACAGGAGCAGACTGTCCCCTTGTCCCCGGGCTGTGTGACACATCCACCGCTGTGCCAGCCTCCTGCCTGCCCTGCAAAGGCACGGGGAGGGCTGTGAGTGCCAGCACAGCGCCCGTGCCCAGCCCCACAGCCCATCCCACGAGGACACACCTTTGCTGCCATCCCAGAAGACACATTGTGGGGTGACACCCTGCAGGGGGGGAGAGGACATCAGACACCATGGGGAGGGGCACTGCAGGGGAGAGGGAGGGCAGGCAGGGCTGACTTACCCGGGGCAGCTGCCTGTGGGCGAAGGTGAGCTGCACGGGCTCCTGCAGCCCCGAGATGCTGCTCTCTCCCACTGTGATGCCCACYACGGTGTTGTCCAGGACCTGCCCGGTCTGGTTGGCTTCCTGTGGAGGGGCAGTGATCCCTGAGCTGAGCTGGGGGTGGGGGACAATGGTGGCAGCATGAAGGACGCTGGCAGTGCCACCTCATACCTTGAACACACCCAGCTGCTGGATGTTGAGGACTGTCACCACCACACGTACTGTCTGGCTGCTCAGGGACCGGAATATCTCCCTGGGGAGGTGGATTTTACTTGTGTTCCCTTTGTCCGTGGTGTTGAGCCTGCTGGGGCCCTATGGTGGAGGAGAACAGTGAGAGGTTGTTGCTGGCAGGTCACCTCTGCTCAGGACCCCCAGCCTTGCTCCAGACACAAATTCAGCCCTGCCCGGGTGGGTTTGCTCAGAAACATCTGCAGGAGCCCAGAGGGAAAAAGGGGAGAGCCTCATCCCCAGCATCCACAGGGACAGAGCTGGGAGTGAGCCCCAGCACTCTCTACCCACCATGGTCCCCTGGGACATCCAGAGCCTGGGAGAGCRTGCGGGTGGGCAGGAGGCACAAGGTCACATACATTCCTCCTTTTTCCGACCTCACCCTCCCCCTGACCACCCCAGCCTGCTGGGTGGCTCCTCAGGGAGGGCTCTTTGTTCCCACACACCACTTCATGTGGCTCCTTGCCAAAGGATGTTGGGGTTGACGCGGGTCGGTGATGCAACCCCGGAACAGGGTGGAGGCAGAGCACTGCAGGCACACCGAGCCCTGGGGTGCTTGGAGGGCATGGGACCTTCGAAAGGGAGAGAGAGGGGCACATCTCACCGCCGTGGGGGAGAAGGTGATGAGGACATCACGGGTGACAGCCCTGCTGACATTCAGGAACAGCGTCTTGAGCCCGGCCAGCCAAGTGTGCTGCCCCGACTGCAGCAGCCTGCGGGACAGGGGGGCTGTGGGACACSAGGACATGGGCACCGAGCCCACAAACCCTGCCCCATGACCACCCCTGCCACTACCTGAGCCACAGCTCCCGCATGCAGGCACAGGCAGGGCTGTGAGAGCGCCACAGCTCCGGGCAGTCCCGGGACAAGTGCAGGACGTGGCTCCTGTTGTTGGGGTTCTGCCGCTCCACCGTCACATTGCAGCACTCCCGGGGCTCATCACCCCGACCCATGGCTGCAGAGGGACACAGCAGGTGACCACTGGGCACCACGGCTCTGGGTGGACACTGGGAGCAAGGTAGGAATGGCAGGGGACCACTCACCGGAACATCTGTCCTGTCCTTTGCAAACATCTGGAGGAGGAGTGCGTGGAGAAACGGGGGAAAACAACAAAATCTAGGGTCAGTCCTCCCTCTGTCGGGAAGGGAAGGGAAGGGAAGGGAAGGGAAGGGAAGGGAAGTCTGGCAGGTTTTAGAGGACCAGTCCTGCAGTTACACAGGCTTCACAAGCATCTGGACAGCCACAGGAGCTGGTGAGGGCAAAGCCACAGTGTCCAGCCCAGGGGAGTGGGCTGAGGGTGTCTCAGAGGACACCCTGTGCTGCTGGTCCCAGGTTTTAAAAAAGCTCCCAGTAACAAACCCCCCAACTCTGCTCACCTCTGCACGTCCCAGGGGGGATCCTCCCTTCCAGCCCATCCACATTTCAGGATGATATCCTGATGTGATCTTTTGGTGAACACTGTCCCAAGGGAAAACCTTTCCACAAAGCCCACAAACCCCCTATGCCAGGGATACCTGTTCCCCCTTCACCTGCCACTCACCAGGCAGCAGCAGGAGCAGTAGGATGGTGCCCAGGAACAGGTTCATGMTGCTTTGTGGGGTGTCCTGGCTGCCCCAGGCCTTCTGCTCCCCTTGTCCCGGCAGCTTTGCTCCTCCACAGGCTCCCCTGGGGCTTGTGGCCACTTCTGAGGTAACAGYGGTTCCTCATTTCCCTTCTTGGAACCCCTCTCCTTCCTGTAGGCTGGCAAGTGACCTCCTGTCCCAGCTGACAGTAATGGTGACAACTGCCAGACCGTGGTGTTTTACCCCTGGCTCCTTCCTGTGACTGACCGTGGGCTTTTTGCTTTCCCTTTCTCCCCACAGCCCTGCCAAGGGGTTGATGGCCCTGACAGCTCAGCAAAGGCTGGAGCATCCTCCTCCTATCTGGGCATCACCGAGATGAAATGGGAGGGTGCTCTGCCCCAGCTGAGTGCTGAGAGTTGAGTGAGAGGGATGATCCACAACCCTCTGGAAGGGGAATGGCAGGATGGGAGATGTGGGGCTGTGCTTGCAAGAGGCACAGCCAGAACAGCCAGACTCTGACTGGCCCCACAGCCACTGAGGGGATGATTCCCATCCTGTGAGGTCTCCCTCTGTGAATCTCTATCCTCCTCCAGCCTCTTTCTGCTGGATAGTGACAGTCCCTGGGGACTTCCCAAGCCATGGACTCTCCCTCCATCACCCCAACCCCAATGGCACCAGGAGCCAGGAGCACCACCATCAGTCCCAGCTCAGCAGGATCCTGCAGGGTAAAATGCTGGGTTCTGCCCCAGAGATGGGATAACCCTGGCCAAGGGATGGATCCCGCTGGAGAGCCCCCAAAGCATCAAGCAGAGACCCCAAAAAGCCACACTCCGAGAGGAACAACTTTAATGGGCACAAGTTGGGTGTGCAGAACTCCTACACCACCCAAAAATAGACATTCAACAAAATAACAAAAATAGATTATTCCAGCTGCCTGAGGGTGTGGCGGGGGCAGAGTCATTCTGTCTTCCCTGCGGAAGGACCCTCATGGTGACCACCAGCAAGGGCTGCAGATTGGGCCTTTCCCACCCATCATCCCTGGCCTCAGGGCATGGGAGGGGACATCCAAAGGTGCTGGGGACCCTGTCCCTGCCCCTTCCGCTTTTTACAGCCCTCCCCCACCCAGGTGAGCATCCCTCTCTCCCTCTCTCCCTCCTGCCCCAAGGATGCCAAGCCTGTCAGGATGGAGTGGGTGGGAATACTGGGGAGGGGGCTGGCAGAGGCAGGGGGGTGGTGGGCCCCTCTGCGGGTCCCTGGGCTCCTCACAGCCCTGAGGGGCAAGTGCAGTAGCAAAGCAGATGTGTGGTCCTTCTTGTGGCCGTCCTGGGCGTGGGGAGCTCCGGCACGGCGCGGCCATGGCGGGGCTCAGCTGCTGCTGGGCTGCAGCTTGGCACTGTCAGAGCTGCTCTGAGAGTCAGGGGACTTCCTCGCCTGCAGCACCATGGTCCAGTACCAGAGGAAGATGAGGAAACCTGGGAGAGGGGACAGAAAGGGTGGATGAACCCCCTTGAGGGACAAAGAGCAAACCACTCAGCCTGTCCCAGCTCCCAGCTCACACCCCATCACCACCCCAGCAACACCCCGTGAAAACCCTGGAACCCTTCAGAGGAGCCCAGGCTCACCTTGGAGAGAGTTGATGATGGTGAAGATGTACAGGGAGACGAGGCAGAACACCCCAGAGGTGAAGGAGAAGAAGATCAGAGCCCAGGGGATGCCCAGCAGGATGCTCAGCCCCAGGAGGGCCAGCACGTGCTTGAGCTTGTGACCTTTTTTGTTCTGCCGGAGGATCTCCCGCACCATGGCCCCCAGCATGACCGAGTTAAAGAGGAACACCAGGCTGAAGAAACCCAGGTTCACGGTGTTATGGATCAGGGGGCTCGTGATCCAGCATCTGGAGGGGGGAGAAAGGGCAGAGATCACGCTGTGTCCTCCCACATGGGTTGGGAGGAGCTGGGGGAAGCACAGAGTGTGGTGCCAGCCCAGCATCCAGGGAGAGTGGATCCCCTGGCACAAAAACCCAGCAAAGCCCCAGGCCATGGTGAAGGTTTAGCCTTCACCTGTGAGCAGAGAGCAGGCAGCCCTGTCCCGTGACTCACATGGTTGCGTTGGTGACTCTGCCGTCGATGGATTCATAGATGGGAACGGAGAACGGGCCGTAGTTAGACCAGCTAGCCAGGAAGATCACCATCACACAGAGGAAGGGGAATCCTGGGTGGAAAGAGCACAGTGAAGGGGCTGCCCTGGTCCCTGGCCTTTAGGGACCTTCTGGAAGACTTGTTTCCCCTGTCTCCCCATGTAGAGCACAAACCAACATCCTCCATCCCAAGGCAGAGCGCACAATGAGGGCCCCTGGTGTAAGCCCTGGCCTGGGAGGGGACAGTGCTGTGCTGACCTCAGCTGGACATCTCCCAGGGATGAGGAATTCAGGCCACAARGGATCCTCAGATCTTCCTACCATGACAGAGAAGCATGGGCCCTTCCCGCACCCAGCCCACCACTCAGGGCTGTCCTGGATGATTCTTTCAGACAGAGGATCCCATTACTTTTTAGAGATCCCAGGTGGTGGCTTTCACATGTGTCCCTCACTGGCTGACCCCAGGGTGACCCACCCTTGCTCTAGCACCAGCTTCTGCTCTCAGCCTTCAAATCCCCTTCTCCACCAAGGCTCCTGACAGAGGAGCTCCCCCACAGCTGAGTCCCCATCCCCATCCAGTGGGAAAGCCCCAGCCAAGAGCCCCTGCAGCCACCCTGAACCCTGGGGTGTCCCTGCCTCCCCCATGCTCACCCCAGCCAACCAGGCAGAGCTTGAGAAGGAAATGGTCGTGGTAGGCATTGAAGACCTCGATCACCAGCCGGTAGAGGTTGTAGCCCTCGATGCCCATCCAGGTGAGGCAGCTCAGGAGTGAGAAGTGCAGGAAGAGCCCCCCRGCCCTGCAGATGGCCTCGCTGTTGCTGTCAGCCAGGTGCTCCGAGATGAGGAAGGTGAGGTCCAGGAGGAAGATGGCCACCAGCAGGTTCATGTGGATGTGCATGCTCGTGATCTGGTCCCGCTGTTTGCTCCTGCASAAGAGAAGGGARCAGAGCTCACTGCCATGCCTGGCCAGCACCCTCAGTGCCCTCAATACCCCAGAGCACCTCCCAGTGCTTCAGGAGCTCCAAGAGAGCTGGTAAAGGATTTTGGACATGGCCTGGAGTGACACGACAAAGGGAAATGGCTTCAAACTGACAGAGGGCAGGGTTAGATTAGATATTTGGAAGGAATTCTTCCCTGTGAGAGTGGTGAGGACCTGGCACAC